TTCTGTCTCCGTGTCCGTTTTAATAACGAATTATTCCCAAAAGAATTTATAAGTTTAAATATACTGTATATCAAGTGGAGCATCATGGTGAAATGCCATTTTGCTGCACTTGTGAAAGTAAAACCGTTGGGCTTCATTTGGACACTCAGACATCAATTCTGAGTTTCACACTGCGGGACAGGACATGGTAAAAAAAAGTAAATAAGAGGACTGGGTTTAACGATTGTTTTAAAGAGACTGAATCTCTCAGAAGTAAATGTAATTTGTTTAACATTCTGCCAAAAATGCATCTAATTTGAGTGGAACTATTTCAGACAACTGTTTCTTATTTTAAAAAGTGGACATTAAATCTCTCTTCACTAACAGTTTAAAACATCAAAAGATTTGAAGAATCTGGAGAAACATCTGAGCTCGGGACCAGATTTACAGTCAGTATTGGATGACCCATAGATCCACACCTCCACTAATCATTGTCTGTAAATACAGTTTGCTGTGCCATCCACTGATGCTGGTTAAAGCTCTATGATGCAGAAACAAAGACCTATGTGAACACCATCCAGAAACGATGACCAATTAAAAACCTACCTGAGTTTTGGGAGCTTGAGGGTTTTGTTCAGGATCTCAGCTGTTCCTAGGACTGAGACCTCTGAGGTTGTTCCTCAGATCTGTGGGTACCAAGTTCTTGAGTACTCTGATGACCATTGAGACTATACACTGTAAAGCCAAATTAGTAATCATTATTAAAGCCGTTTACGGTAACTGATTATATCGGGATTTCTAGTTTTTACATAATCAAAAAATTCAAGCTCTGTTTGAAGTCTTGTATTCAAGCTTATCCATTACTAAATAACTTAAGATTTTAAAACTAACCTTTACGAGTAATTGACTCAACATTACTCACGTTTATCAGTAATCATTATTCATGTTTATCAGTTTACTCATGTTTATCAGTAATTGTTACTCACATTTATTCATTTTAGTGTTAATAGAAATTATTAAATGTAACTTATAGTCAATCAATTTGTTTCTTATATGCAAGTGTAACATTATAAACATGTAAACATGAGTAGATTTCACATTGTGTAAGACTTAAATCATAAACACAAAGCAGTAAACAGGGGGGAACCAGAGTCATCAGCTATTTTACAGTAAATGCACTCTTACTGACGGTTTTCAGGCTTGTCATTAGTGAATAAAATTACTGAATTAAAACAAATTGCCTTGAATAATGACAGAACAAGAATAAGTCAATTTATGCTGTCATGTGTGCTGCTTTTACAAAATGTCCTGATGCATCTCAGTAATCCAGGTAAAAAAAWWTTTTAAAAAATGTCAAGATAATACACAACTTTTATGAGGGAATGGGGAAGAAAAGAAAATTACTCATGATCCCTGACAGGCTCTGCACCAATCAAATGAGGCGGTTAGAAAAAAAGAAACAAACTGAACAAACGAACACAGCTGAACTATCAAACAAAAATCATGGCCAGGAATCATTGTAATGCAACAGAAAAAATGCAATCAGCAACCATGCATCCAACACAGTCAGAAGAAACATGCTCTGGTAGTTTACTTCTTCTTTTTTTTTTTTTTCTAAGGATCTAAGGATTTCTAAGGATCCTTACGAAAAAAAAAAAGTTTACTTCTTCTTCGCGTTGGCAAACAATTTAAAGACGCATTACTGTCACCTACTGGCTCAACAGTCAGGTCACTGATCAGCCCCTCCCAAAACCAGTAAAAACCTGTAAATTTAAGTTGTCTCAGCTTAGTGCCATTAGTAGAGCAAAAACTTGCCTTGAGTAGTTTACAAAACATATTTTCTTAAGTAATGGATCCGCCTTTTGCAAAAACATGAAAAGGTTAGTAATAATAGCTTGACTTATTATGTAAAAGAAACTATGGGTTGACACCATGACGCTCCTCAACTTCTTTATTTCCTCTTGGTATGTCTCCAGCTTCTTCTTCCTGGTGTTACTTATCTCTACATCTGTCACCACCTCCTTCTTTTGTTTGTCGACCACCCTGTCCAGTTGGATCTGTTTGTCTGGATCTGAAAGGATTTTTTGGGCTGATGTGCAGTGCCATTTGACCTCCAATGGATGCTTTTAGACATTCAGGGTTTTGCGTTAGAGTTGGGGTGGAGGGAAAACTGGCACCATGCTGGCCTCTGCCCCTCTTCTCCATTTTAATTGCACTATAGAACTGAACAACATGCATCAACAGCACATCTGAGGTCCAGGTTGGTCCAGCAATTCCACTACCATTCATTATTCAAGCCACACACACTCCCCTACCCACCGCCAATGAGATGGCCCGCCCCTCCAAATATTTCACGGCATGTAGTAATTTTTATTTAAATAAGGCCAGATCAGGTCAAGAGCTATTTTTGCACCCCTCCATATCCACCTCTCTCCAAACTTGGGGAAAGAAGACGGCACAGACCGAGGCTGTGAGCGCTGTGTGTGGTCCTCATAAAGATAGAAAAATGCGTGTGTGTGTGTGTGTGTGTGTGTGTGTGTGTGTGTGTGTGT